TTTTGGAGATCCTGAGGGGATTTTTGGGATCCTGAGGGGATTTGAGGGAAACAGAGGGGATTTGGGGAGATTTTCAGGGATCCTGAGAGGATTTGAGGGTCCTTGAGGGGTCCTGAGGGGATTTTTGGGATTTTGAGGGGATTTGAGTGAAACAGGGGGGATTTGGGGAGATTTTGGGGAGATTTGGAGGGTTCCTAAAGGGGATTTGAGGAGTCCTGAGGGGATTTTTGGGATCCTGAGGGGATTTGAGTGAAACAGGGGGGATTTGGGGAGATTTTGGGGAGATTTGGAGGGACCTGAGGGGATTTGAGGGGTCCTTGAGGGGATTTTGGAGATCCTGAGGGGATTTTTGGGATCCTGAGGGGATTTGAGGGAAATAGAGGGGATTTGGGGAGATTTTCAGGGTTCCCGAGAGGATTTGAGGGTCCTTGAGGGGTCCTGAGGGGATTTTGGGGATCCTGAGGGGATTTGAGGGAAACAGAGGGGATTTGGGAAGATTTTGAGGAGTTTTCGGGAAGTCCCTGAGGGGATTTTGGGGGGTCCTGAGGGGATTTGAGGGAAATATGGGGAATTTGGGTGGAATTTGAGGGAATTGGGTGGAATTTGAGGGAATTTGGGTGAAATTTAGGGGGATCTGGCTGGAATTTGGGTGGAATTTGGAGGGATTTTGGTGGGATTTGGCTGGAATTTAGGTGGAATTTGGCTGGAATTTGAGGGAACTTGGGGGGATTTGGCTGGAATTGGGTGGAATTTGAGGGAATTTGGGTGAAATTTGAGGGATTTTAGATGGAATTTGAGGGAATTTGGGTGGAATTTGAGGGAATTAGGTGGAATTTGAGGGAATTTGGGTGAAATTTGAGGAATTTTAGATGGAATTTGAGGTAACCTGGGGGCTTTGGCTGGAATTGGGTGGAATTTGAGGGAATTTGGGGGAATTTGGGTGGCATTTGAGGGAATTTGGGTGAAATTTGAGAGAACTTGGGGGATTTGGCTGGAATTGGGTGGAATTTGAGGGAATTTGGGTGAAATTTGAGGAATTTTAGATGGAATTTGAGGGAATTTGGGTGGAATTTGAGGGAATTTGGGTGAAATTTGAGAGAACTTGGGGATTTGGTTGGAATTGTATGGAATTTGGGGGAATTTGGGTGGAATTTGAGGGAATTTGGGTGAAATTTGAGAGAACTTGGGGGATTTGGCTGGAATTGGGTGGAATCTGAGGGAATTTGGCTGGAATTTGGTGGATTTGGGTGGCATTTGAGGGAATTTGGGTGAAATTTGAGAGAACTTGGGGGCTTTGGCTGGAATTGGGTGGAATTTGAGGGAATTTGGGTGAAATTTGAGGGAATTGGGTGGAATCTGAGGGAATTTGGCTGGAATTTGGTGGGATTTGGCTGGCATTTGAGGGAATTTGGGTGGAATTTGAGGCAATTTGGGTGCAATTTGAGGGATTTTGGTGGGATTTGGCCGGATTTGGGTGGAATTTGAGGGAATTTGGGTGAAATTTGAGGGATTTTGGGGGAATTTGGGTGGAATTTGAGGGAATTTGGGGGAAATTTGAGGGAATTTGGGTGGAATTTGAGGCAATTTGGGTGAAATTTGAGAGATTTTAGATGGAATTTGAGGGAATTTGGGTGAAATTTGAGGGAACTTGGGGGCTTTGGCTGGAATTGGGTGGAATTTGAGGGAATTGGGTGAAATTTGAGGGAATTTGGCTGAAATTTGAGAGAACTTGGGGGCTTTGGCTGGAATTGGGTGGAATTTGAGGGAATTTTGGTGAAATTTGAGGGATTTGGGGGGAATTTGGCTGGAATTGGGTGGATTTGGCTGGAATTTGAGGGGATTTGGGTGCAATTTGAAGGAACTTGGGTGGAATTTGGGTGGAATTGGGTGGAATTTGAGGGAATTTGGGTGCAATTTGAGGAATTTTGGTGGGATTTGGCTGGATTTGGGTGGAATTTGAGGGAATTGGGTGAAATTTGATGGAATTTGGGTGGAATTTGAGGGAATTGGGTAGAATTTGATGGAATTTGGGGGAATTTGGGTGGAATTTGAGGGAATTTGGGTGGAATTTGAGGGAATTTGGGTGAAATTTGAGGTAACCTGGGGGCTTTGGCTGGAATTGGGTGGAATTTGAGGGAATTTGGGTGAAATTTGAGGGATTTTAGATGGAATTTGAGGGAATTTGGCTGGAATTTGGTGGAATTTGAGGGAATTTGGGTGCAATTTGAGGGATTTTGGTGGGATTTGGCTGGATTTGGGTGGAATTTGAGGGAATTGGGTGAAATTTGATGGAATTTGGGTGGAATTTGAGGGAATTTGGGTGGAATTTGATGGAATTTGGGGGAATTTGGGTGGAATTTGATGGAATTTGGGTGAAATTTGAGGGAATTTGGCTGAAATTTGAGAGAACTTGGGGGCTTTGGCTGGAATTGGGTGGAATTTGAGGGGATTGGGTGAAATTTGAGGGAATTTGGGTGAAATTTGAGAGAACTTGGGGGATTTGGCTGGAATTGGGTGGAATTTGAGGGAATTTGGGTGAAATTTGAGGAATTTTAGATGGAATTTGAGGGAATTTGGGTGGAATTTGGTG